AAAAAAAATAAATTTTAATAATTTTTTTTTTTTTTTTTTTTTTTGTAATATTCCTCGGCAGCGACATATCTCATAATACTTCACGATCTTTGGGAAAACAGATTTTTCTTTTTGCAATTTTTTGTTTATTTATTTATTTATTTATTATTATTATTTTTTTTTTTATCGAGAGCTTCGCTTTTAGCCCTGGCTAAATCTATATATTAAAGAACTGTCCAAGTTTACTTTCTTAGCAATTTACGCCGACTGGCGTTAAGTCAACTTAACATAATTTGTAAACGCGTTCATGTACTGGGCCCACTTGAGGTTTTCCTCTTGCCTAGTCCCTAGACCTTATATTCATTTCGCACGGTCCATACGTTTCGGATACGTAACCGAAACATGCATTGACCGATAAGACCTGGAAGGACGCCGTACAGGATTTGGCATGCTTTTCTCAACATTCCAGGGCAGATTTTTAAAAGTTTCTTAGCAGCGTGCATTTGATCATTCAAGGGCAATTTTATGTGTTATAGTTAAGCCTTTGGTGGGTTAATCGACTCCACACTTCAACACCTTGGTGCTTCAATCATGCAGTATTGTAACAACGTAGTGTTTAGAAAGAACGGCAGTATGAATGTTGAAGGCTCCTTTAACACAATAAACATGAATTTCAAAATTATTTTAAGGTCAGGCTGGTGTGACAACACTTCTGCACTTCAAAATCTTCTTAAATTCCTGTCTGAAGGAACGATTCATACCAGAGTATATAAAGGGATTAACCGCACTAGAGGTGTAGATGGAGAGAGAGCAGAACAGTTGTACACCCCGAGGAATAGCTTCTAAAAGACGAAATCGGATAACTATAGCAACGACCCATGCGGGTATCCAACACAATATAAACGCGAGTACTACGACAAACAGAGATTTACTGATTTTTATCTCATGTATTGTAATGTGATACCGCGACCTTCTCAATTGGAGGCCTGGAGCAATATCTAGGTTGTGTTGGCGAATCGCTTTGGAGACCTTGAAGTAGCATACGATTGCAACAGTAAATGGCGTTATCAAAAACAAAGTAATTACTGCAATATAGTGTACGAGAGAGCCACTGACACTCAGATGAAACACGTGACATAGGGCATAGCCAGGAACGAAGCCATAATCTTGTAAACCTGAAAGCTTTGGAATGGCAACGTAAAACGCGACAAAGGCCCATGCGCTCCCTAACATCATTACAGATCGTCGCTTGGATAAGACGGTCATTTGTTTTCCTGGTTTCACAATTCTTATGTATCTGTTAAACGCCGTGAGAGCCATAGTAGTCGGGGACACGAAAAGAACAAAATTCATCACAAAAGCGTGTAGATCGCAGAGAAAAGGCCCAAGAATCCAATCACCAGAGATGAGAACAATAGTCGTAAAGGGCATGGCAATAACTGCAGACAGGAGATCGGCAATAGCAAGTCCTATGATGTACAGGTTAGTGCTAGTCCGAAGGCGGCTGTTTCTGTATACCGACAAACACACCAATATGTTTCCCACAAGTGATGTGATGTTTATGACCAGACAAATGACGACTTCAATGAATACAATTGCAGATGCTCTGGAATCAAGAGACTCTACCTGCATACTGATGAGAAAACTTATTATTAGGCCTAAGGCGAAACTAATGTAGAGATTTGTTGGAAAAAAAAAGAAAAAAAAGAAACAAACAGAAAAACATCTTTTTTGGTGATTTTTTATTATTATTTTAACACCCTCTGAGCTGAGCCTTGCTGATTGAGAAAGAGAAAAAGAGGCTCTGCCTGAATCACGTTAAACCTTTGAGGTCTCCGCTGCACAAACTTCTGGACTAGTCAATCTTGTTTTCTACCCTCAAACTGTTTTATTTTTTTCCGAGTGCGAGCATCTTCTTTATTGATAAACCGATGATCATAACCGAGCCCGCTGTAGAAAGAACACGGGTATAAGGACTGGGTTCTATCACTAGCAACATGCCGCGCATGCTCAACAAACATCTTACTCGATTCATGCAGAGTGTTGTTTCTCGATGACGCCAAAACCGAGCAAGCGAAAGAAAGACTCTGCTGACAGGGCGATATTCTAGCGATTCTCGTTTGGAAAGGCTGTCCATTTGAATTTGATCCTCAGTGTAAATTATTCAAGTAACCATAAAAAAGAATATCATAATCAACTGACCACTTTCTCTTCATCTGCAATCAGTTTGTTATCACGCGACATGTCACCTGACTCTAATTATACGTTAACTCATAAGAAGACCTCAAGATTTGCCTTTCGGGGAAACATTTATTCGGCAATATATATATTTTTTATTATTATTAAAATGAATAGAAACCAGTCTCAACTGGAGAGTTTGTAATTTAATGTAAAAAATAGATGTGCAAAGATTCGACTTAATTCTTTACCAGGATGGTACTTTAATTACATTCTGTGCGGACTAGCAAACCTGTGTGGCCTCCATAACATTTGTTTTGGTACAAAATCGTAACTCACAATTCAGTTTGCGAGGAAAGAGTCAAGTGAATCACGCATCAAACCTGTTTCGTCGGATTCATTGGCAAATAGGTTTAGGACATTCTATTAAGGTGTTTCGATACAGTTTCTCAGAGGCCATACCGATATTTTTCAATCGCCTTAAAAGTAGTTTTTACCTTGTCCGATCGCTATAAAATTTTCACCAGTAATTGGCTATGGATTGAAATTTGTGAAAATGTAGTTTTAAGTAAAATCGATATTACTATGACAACAGTAAACAAAAAACTTTGAAATTGATAAAAGCCGAATTTTGTGTGATCTAGACCTGCTACTGAAAGTCCAACACTAGGGACTTAAAGTTTGGTGTTTAGCAAACAATCTCCGTAAGAAGTAAAAAATTCTGTATGTTTGAATTCGAATAAAACGAAAATATATTTCAAACCTTAAATTTTCAATAGCCGTGATAGGTTATGTAATAAAAACGTTATAAATGACTCAAATTATTCTTAAGTAGCGTACGATTGATGCTTAATATCATGTTTTGATACTAGGAAATTTTGGTGTACTTTCGTTCATGCGATCTTGAAAACTAACCCATTTTCTCACCATCTGTATAAGTGCAACTTCATTCAGAATTTGGACTTTTAGCGCTTTCTTGTATATCTCCGAAACGACTCGAACGAATTTTTTTCAAATCTATTCACATAATCTTCATAATGTATATAAAGATGTCCGAAAGTCTCATTAAGATTGATTCACTGCAACACCTTGAAATTTCAAGACAAACCTGTCCTACCAACCGGTCAAAAATCTGCGTTACAACATTCACTGTTTTGACGTTATGCTAATTTTTCCAGAATAATGCGCACTATACATACCTCCATGACTAGTACATCTTAGTTTGAATTTATCGCATCTTTTGAATGTAAAATATTGGCAATACTCACACTGAAATGTACTAGTCATGGATATATGTATTGTCCGCATTAATTTGGAAAAATTACCATAACGTCAAAACAGTGAATGTTGGAGCGCAGATTTTTGACCGGTTCGTCGGATAGGTTTGTCTTGAAATTTCAAGGTGTTACAGTGAATCAATCTTAATGAAAGTTTCGGACATTTTTATATACATTATGAAGATTATGTGAAGAGATTTTGAAAAAATTCGTTCGAGTCGTTTCGGAGATATACAAGAAAGCGCTAAAAGTCCAAATTCTGAATGAAGTTGCACTTATACAGATGGTGAGAAAACAGGTTAGATTTCAATATCGCATGAACGAAAGTACACCAAAATTTCCTAGCATCAAAACATGATATTAAGCATCATTCTTACGCTACTTAAGAATAATTTGAGTCATTTATAACGTTTTTATTGCATAACCTATCACGGCTATTGAAAATTTAAGGTTTGAAATATATTTTCGTTTTATTCGAATTCAAACATACAGAATTTTTTACTTCTTACGGAGATTGTTTGCTAAACACCAAACTTTAAGTTCCTAGTGTTGGATTTTCAGTAGCAGGTCTAGATCACACAAAATTCGGCTTTTATCAATTTCAAAGTTTTTTGTTTATTGTTGTCATAGTAATATCGATTTTACTTAAAACTACATTTTCACAAATTTCAATCCATAGCCAATTACTGGTGAAAATTTTATAGCGATCGGACAAGGAAAAAACTACTTTTAAGGCGATTGAAAAATATCGGTATGGCCTTTGAAAAACTGTATCGAAACACCTTAATAGCTACATCTTACTGCGTTGATAACTGTAGTCTGCTCTCCAAACTTTTCTAGTGCGGCTCTTTCACCTCTCCAAAGGCAAATTAGACGTTATATTTTCTTATTATGCCAGAGATTAAAAGTTACAAAATATAAGAAGAAAATATCAGAAAAATTAACCAGAAAAAAAAGAAAAACTTTCAATCCATTAATTTTGGAAAAAAGTAAAATTTAATGACTCGCCTAAAGCTAGCGGAAAAATCAAATGAAAATTAAAAGCACTTTACAAACATATTGTGTAATGTCTGCCGTGTGATTATCGCTGCTGCCCTGGCTATTTCAGAAATTAAAATAAAACAAAAGTAAAATAAAGAAGGGAAGGAAGAACTAAGAGAGCAGTTTTAGAACTCACCTTGCTGCTGTGTTATCTTCGTAAAAATGCAAACTGATGGTCTGTATATTTATATATTTGCTGCCATGATACATCGATGTTTAATATAGTCATTTTTTAAACTATGAAACCGCACTTGTCAAAAGGGTCATGGCATGAGTTTTATTGCACAGTCTTTAAGCCATATCATACTTATATGTAGTGTCGTGTCGGCAAGTACTAAGGCGATCGCCCTTGAATTTTTGATTTCTCAAGCGACCATTGTATTCTTTCTTTCTTTTTTGTGTGTTTTCTTTCGTGTTTTTGTTGTGGTTGTTTGTTTGTTTGTTTTTTTCTTCTGTAAAGAAACAAAAATAAGGATGGGATTAATAGTACAAAGTGTTTAAGGGTGGAACGAATCAGAAAACGCGTCCTAAATAATTACATATTTTCAGTAGAATTTACACATGTCAACCACTTCCTTGGTAAAAGGCTTTCATCTGAACATGTAATCGTTATCTCGGAATTCTGACAGCCGCACCTAAAAACGTGAACAGACTTACTAAAAAGGCCCATCGTTAATGATTCCGACTTATATAAGGGGCATTTGCAATATTAACTGAATTAAGTTTTTTTTCAAAGAAGTTGTTAAATTATTTTTAATAAACGGTTTTGTCGACAATTTTAATAAAAAGTTAGACTTAGCTAGACTTAATAAATATAACGTTTAACAACTTAAGAGCATTTCTGTGATAATATTCTTGGAATTCAGGCTACTAACAAAAGCGGAAAATACTTACCTGGATCTTTATAAAGCTGGTTACAAGGATAAATAGTTCGAGAAACAATCCTGTTATCAAGCACAATGTAAACTGCGGATGAAATAAAAAAAAAAAACATAGGGATCGACCATAGAGATATTCTAACAGGGCCAAACTTCTATTGTTCTGTTATGAGTGTACTGTGCCGTATTTGAACATCTTTTAATTGACTTGGTTTCAAAAGAGCATTTCCGCAAATAACATAAACGCAACGTGAATTATACTTCCTTTGAAATTTCAGCTAATTCATGCAAGTGTTAACTTATTAGTTTCAGAATGATAAGTAGAAGTAATAATGCATGTTATGACAGTTATTGACTTTTTAATTACTTCCAATGACAAATCCTACTGGACTCAATATAGTCAAATAGAATATTTTGCTATTTATTTGGGCGGATGACGTCCCCTACAGCAAAGAACAGCCACCAACTTTCTTTTCTTTCTTTCTTTTTTTTTAATTTGCACTTTTTGTGAGCATGCAATCGTTATATGCAGTCTCTCCCCTCACTCAGGCTTTACATTACAATCCAGAAAACGAAACTGTGTCACCTATATTTTCTTCCGAGAACTAGAAAATTAAAAATACTAGCTATATATTGTTATCTACCTCTTGCACGCTTTTCTGTATTTTTTTTTTCAATTTATTACATTAACATTACAAAGGTTCCGAAGAAATTAAAACCCCTGTGAACATTCTATCGATTAATGTGGTGTTTCCCGACTGCAATCACTGACATGATTAAATGAGGGCTTTTTACTCTAAGTGCTTTCGCATTTTAAAACGATAGGCATTCCCTTAAGACATTGTAATATATGTAGCGTACAGATCATAAGGGTTTTAAATCTAGAGGGAAAAAGCTAATAAATTAAACAAAAAAAAAGAAAAAAAGATGGAGCAGTCGGTAGAAAATGAGTTTCACTTTGCTTATACTCCATTAAATCTTAGTAGAGTTTTGTGGCTGAAAAAAAAAAAAAAAAAAGACTTTCTTTTAAGAGGGGAGCCCTTTATAGCCAAAAGCCAAAAAAACCCGCGCCCCCCCACCCTATACGCCCCCCAAATTCTGAGTGTTCTTTTTTTTATTTGTAGATACAACGAACACGCACACGCCACCCCCCCACACACCAATAAAAAATAGATGTGCAAAGATTCGACTTAATTCTTTACCAGGATGGTACTTTAATTACATTCTGTGCGGACTAGCAAACCTGTGTGGCCTCCATAACATTTGTTTTGGTACAAAATCGTAACTCACAATTCAGTTTGCGAGGAAAGAGTCAAGTGAATCACGCATCAAACCTGTTTCGTCGGATTCAATGGCAAATAGGTTTAGGACATTCTATTAATAGCTACATCTTAATGCGTTGATAACTGTAGTCTGCTCTCCAAAACTTTTCTAGTGCGGCTCTTTCACCTCTCCAAAGGCAAATTAGACGTTATATTTTCTTATTATGCCAGAGATTAAAAGTTACAAAATATAAGAAGAAAACATCAGAAAAATTAATCAGAAAAAAAAAAAAAAAACTTTCAATCCATTAATTTTGTAAAAAAGTAAAATTCAATGACTCGCCTAAAGCTAGCTGGATAAATCAAATGAAAATTAAAAGCACTTTAAAAACATATTGTGGAATGTCTGCCGTGTGATTATCACTGCTGCCCTGGCTATTTCAGAAATTAAAATAAAACAAAAGTAAGATAAAGAAAGGAAGGAAGAATTAAGAGAGCAGTTTTAGAACTCACCTTGCTGCTGTGTTTTCTTCGTAAAAATGCAAACTGATGGTCTGTATATTTATATATTTGCTGCCATGATGCATCGATGTTTAATATAGTCATTTTTTAGACTATGAAACCGCATTTGTCAAAAGGGTCATGGCATGAGTTTTATTGCACAGTCTTTAAGCCATATCATACTTATATGTAGTGTCGTGTCGGCAAGTACTAAGGCGATCGCCCTTGAATTTTTGATTTCTCAAGGGACCATTGTATTCTTTCTTTCTTTTTTGTGTGTTTTCTTTCGTGATTTTGTAGTGGTTGTTTGTTTGTTTTTTTTTTCTTCTGTAAAGAAACAAAAATAAGGATGGGATTAATAGTACAAAGTGTTTAAGGGTGGAACGAATCAGAAAACGCGTCCTAAATAATTACATATTGTCAGTAGAATTTACAGATGTCAACCACTTCCTTGGTAAAAAGCTTTCATCTGAACATGTAATCGTTATCTCGGAATTCTGACAGCCGCACCTGAAAACGTGAACAGACTTACTAAAAAGGCCCATCGTTAATGATTCCGACTTATATAAGGGGCATTTGCAACATTAACTGAATTAAGTTTTTTTTTTCAAAGAAGTTATTAAATTATTTGTAATAAACGGTTTTGTCGACAATTTTAATAAGAAGTTAGACTTAGCTAGACTTAATAAATATAACGTTTAACAACTTAAGAGCATTTCTGTGATAATATTCTTGGAATTCAGGCTACTATCAAAAGCGGAAAATACTTACTTGGATCTTTATAAAGCTGGTTACAAGGACAAATAGTTCGAGAAACAATCCTGTTATCAAGCACAATGTAAACTGCGGATGACGTCCTCTACAGCAAAGAACAGGCACCAACTTTCTTTTCTTTTTTTTCTTTTTTTTTTTTTAATTTGCACTTTTTGTGAGCATGCAATCGTTATATGCAGTCTCTCCCCTCACTCAGGCTTTACATTACAATCCAGAAAACAAAACCGTGTCACCTATATTTTCTTCCGAGAACTAGAAAATTAAAAAGACTAGCTATATATTGTTATCTACCTCTTGCATGCTTTTCTGTATTTTTTTTTTATTTATTACATTAACATTACAAAGGTTCCGAAGAAATTAAAACCCTGTGAACATTCTATCAATTAATGTGGTGTTTCCCGACTGCAATCACTGACATGATTAAATAAGGGCTTTTTACTCTAAGTGCTTTCGCATTTTAAAACGATAGGCATTCCCTTAAGACATAATATATGTAGCGTACAGATCATAAGGGTTTTAAATTTAGAGGGAAAAAGCTAATAAATTAAAAAAAAAAAAAAGATGGAGCAGTCGGTAGAAAATGAGTTTCACTTTGCTTTACTCCATTAAATCTTAGTAGAGTTTTGTGGCTGAACTCAGTCAAATTGTCTTATGAATTTGATTGCCGTTAATTTATCCCGATCAAAGAGGTGAAAGCGAGGAACTTGGAGTTAAGATGTTCACTAGCTACGAGCCTTTTGAATTTTCTAGCTGGAGAAATTATGCCATTTTTGCGGAATACAACCTGATGAATAAAATAAATATTGTGATATTAAAGCAAACGGATAAAGTCAGATTTCTAACATATTTTTTAGTAAGCGAGACGTTCATATTTCTTATCTAGTCGGAATATGCAAAAAGTGTAGGTTCTTGCTTCCTCCTTGAAGATTACAAGTGTCAATCTCAGGCGTCTCAAAATCCAAGGAAGCAATGCGATCCACATTTTCAGATCTTTCAAGGGATTCGTTTCTGGAATATTGTCTCACGTTTGAAGGGATCCGACTGAGCTCGAACATTCCTTCTGCGTTTCTTTTCACTGACGTCAAAGATATTACAACACGTCTTGATCGACAGGTGATGATCCTACGAAACTCGTTTCGGAAGGATGAATTCATGCCAGCATATATGACAGGGTTAACCGTATTGGAAATGTAAAGAAAAAACATACATAACAACTCCAAATTTCTTGGCATGTGAATGATAAAGAAACGCCTTAAAATAACAATTACCCATAAAGGAATCCAACACAACATAAATGCAAAAACAACAATGAATAATGACCAGCTTAGATTGATTTCTTGAACAGATATCCTTGTTTCGTTACCTTGCCTTCTATTTTGACGAATCGAGGGAAAAATTTCTATCTTATGTTGTCGAATAGTTTTAAGGACTTTGCTGTAACAGAATGTTGTAGCTAACAATGGCAGGGCAAGGAATAGGGTTATAACGATTGTGTAATGAATGATTTTCGCTGTTTCACTGAGGTGCTTGATCGAGCATTGTGCGTAACCTGGTACAAACTCAAATTCCTGAAATTCTGCAACGCGGGGAATTCCAATATAAAATGCCACAAAAATCCACACAAAAGCCAGACAGAAACGAGATTTTTTGGGCGAAAATATACAATTGTAGTTCGCAGAAGATCGGCATATACGAAAGTATCTGTTGATGGCAGTCAAACTCATAGTCGCTGGAGAAACATAAATGACAAAGAGGCTAATGAAAGCGTGAAACTGGCATATGCTTTCACCAAATGGCAACCTTCCTTGAAAAAGGATGACTTCCGCGAGTGGCATAACAAACAATGCCGAAAGAAGATCGCTTACAGCCAAAGCTATGATGTAGAGATTAGTGGATGTACGCAGGCGAGGATTTCTGTAAACAGACAGACACACAAGGATATTTCCAGTAAGTGAAAGGATATTTAAAATGACCAATGTTGATCCCTCCAGGATCACCAGGGCAGCGCTTCTTGTTTTAAGATCGTTGGCCATCTAAAAGTGTTTTCTTAGACGATATCAAAAGTTTTAGCATATAAATGACCAAAGCGCTCTCTTTATCTTTCAAAATCATTCGATTTTGTGAAAAGTCTCACATTAACGGCCTCAATATGCTGTCGTAGCCCTTCTGTACATTTTTTCTAGCAAAACTTGGATTTTTATGTCATTCTCCTATAATTTTGCCGAAAGAGACTCGTCAATTTGTTTGCAAGACACCTAAGATTATGCTCGAATTCATTTCCGTCTTTCACTTTTAATGAATCCCACACGAACTTTATCTTCGCCCAGAGGACCAATAAAAGTGATAGCTTAAAAAATATGTTACCTCAGTCTACAATTTTTTTTTTTAATTATTATCATCAAATTTCATTGTTATCGATAGAACGCTATTTTATGTGTTTTAGAGATGTTGGACGACGTCAGGGACTGAGCAGCAATTCATAGACTTATAGTTGAGAATCTCTAAATCAACGACGGAAAGGGTAGAAAGATGCGAGTATTATGTAAATAAATGTATCGAAGAGCCTCCGGATTACGCGGGGGCACAACCTTTCAATTTAACAGCTGACACTCGGAAAACAAATATTTCTTGAACCTTATCACTTAGTTATCAAGAAAAGTACATGTAAGTCATAGAAAAGGAGCCTTTTGAATTAACATGACGTGAACACTTTGATGATGCAAGAAGCTAGTATCCACTGAGGGAACAGGCGCAAACAAAATCGAAAATAAACCTTTTTAATTGCAAACCTTTCTCAGTCTGTAATAATCAAACTTCTTTTTAAGTCGCACATCACTGAATAGCACGACTGCCACCATCATGGTAAAGAGGTCAGCCAGTAAGGTCGGTAATGTTTAAGTCGTATGGCTCTTAATCTATTTCCTTCTTTAACTCTTTCTTTCTTTTAATTATTTATTTATTACTGATCTGCATGCCAAAATTAGTTGACAAATATGAATTTGAACTCACAAAAGTACTTGACGTCCACGCTCCAGTGAGAAAGCGAAAAATCACCGTGAGACCCTCTGCTGCCTGGTACAGGGATGACATAGACAGAAAAAAGCGGAAAAGACGGAAATTAGAAAGGCGCTGGGCAAATCAAATCTAGTTATAAACAGAGAGCTTTAAAACAATCAATGACGAGTCGTCAGTTCTCTTAAAGAAATAGACAGAAATAGTAATAGCTCATTTATTAGATTGAGAAGATGGACTTCTCCGACTACTGATCTGATGTAGTTTGAAGTATTGAAATGCCGAGTTTCGATTGTCTCGAAGATGTTTACATCATTTTCATTCAGCAAATGCGACTACAAAAACTCGCATAAACAAAGGTCACACAAGTAGAAAGACACATTAATCAGTTCGAACAAACATTGAAACTTTTCAAGTGCGAAGAGAAAGTAAATTACCTGCATTATTTCTCTTCTCCTCGGCCATCAATCTGAATTCTACGTATAAACAGCTAAGCTAGATACAAATGTAGTCACAACGGTGGATTAAAAGCGTAAATCTGAGCAGAAATAAGGCACAGCTTACATAATTCGCTTCCCCCTCACTTAAAGCAGGTGAATTGAAAACTTTCTTACGAAAAGACGAGATTCTTGAATTACCGAGATGGCAAAATACGAGCAAAATGTTCTCCGTAGTCCCGACTACGCGGAACAGCTCAACAAGTCACCGTAGCCACAGGACTACGCGGGAAAAATAAACAGTCACGTGGTTTTGATCATGCGCAGTAGCATGTTTAACCGTAGTCGTAGTCCGTAGTCGCGGTATCTTAAACTTAATGCCGTCCAGTGACGTCACTACTCCTTGACCTTTGCTTTAATTCATGCAAAAAGTAAAACACAATTTTCAAGTGGCAAAGCGAGAAATATCGTTTGGAAATGTCTGCACGATACATAACTGCTTTATTTTTTTCGATCGTAATTCATGTTTAACGTTCAAACTATCAACTGCATGCAGTACAACTCTGAACCGGTTGTACTAAATTCTATAATCTAACTCGGTCGCAATCACGCGATAAAATAAACACACACACGGAACACTTATTTTAGTTCAAAAACACAACGATTTGCTTTAATTCTCTGAAAAGAAGCTATTTGGTCCTTAACAAAGAAAAAAAAACAGGGAGACAAGAAAGAAAAGCTAACAGAATCATTACACTTGACGGTAAAAATAGCAAGAAAGTCGAATTATAACATTCATCTCAGAAAACTTCGCGCAAACAAAATCACCGGCCGCCACCACAAAGCGGTTCTAAATGAAAAACCTACCGACTCTCCGCAATGATTCTTCATTCGCAGTTCAATTTAGCATTTCAGTTTCCAAGACAAGGGCAATTTTGCTGTTTAAGATAAAGATTAAGCTTATCGAAATGTTTGAACTAAACGACAGAAAGCCAGAGATGCGATCCGCTGAACAATAAACGACAAACCCGCTAAAATTTTTCATAATTATACATAATTATACGAATGTTTAGACAATCAACCAATCAAAATCATTACCCGGTTTTTGGGTAGTGAGTGACGTCACTGGACGGCATTAACGGCCATGTTATGAATACTTGCAAAACAGCCTTCTTCCATTTAGGGAATATATATATAGAAAAAATACTGAACTGTCTCTCTCAAAACGAAGCTGAGATACTTGTTCCTGCTTTTATTTCATCCGAGCTGAATTTTTGCAACGCTCTTCTGTATGGGTTACCACGATCGGTTCTCGATAGACTACAGTATGTTAAAAACTGTGCTCCTCGCCACGAGGCTGAGAACATATAACTTAGCCCAGTACTTCGTCAATTACACTGGCTACTAATCAAACGCCGAATAACGTACAAAACACTACTCCTTACGTATAAAGAAACGAATGGCGTGGGTCCCAAATATATTGTTGATCTTCTTAAGCGCTATACCCCAACGAGGCAAGTAAGATACTCTTCAAACAATCTCCTTGTCATGCAAAAGTCTAATCTGAAATCTTATGGAGACAGATCTTTCCGAGTGGCTGCCCCGAGACTTTGGAACGCATCACCTAACAGCATAAGGCTAATCCAAATCCCTAATTGTTTTTAACAACAAATTAAAAACATTTTTTTTTTAAAGAAGCTTTTTATTAGTTAGATTTTATGTTTTTTAGCAATCGTTAAAAAATATTAATTATTCATTATTTTTCAAAAATAATGAATAATAAATATACTTTAACGATGCCTAAATAATATATAATAATAATAATAATAATAATAATAATATTAATATTAGAAATATTTATATAGTATTTATTTATTTATTTATATATTTACTTATACAGTATTTATTTATATGCCAAGTTGATATATAAATACAATTACAATTTCTCTTACGCTTAAAATGTTTCTTGACAATATAAAAATCAAAAAAAAATTAATTTCTATATTGTCAAAAACATTTTAATCGTAAAAGAAAATGTAATTGTATTTTTTTTAAAACGCCATGAGCTTCTAGAAATGTTGCGTTATATAAACATTTCTTAAATTATTATTATAATTACTGTTATTATTTATTTATTTTGTTAACAGCAATCTTGTTTTACGTTTTTGTTTCATAAACATCAAAGTGCCTATAATATGTTAAACGCCTTATTGTTTAAACTGAAAGAACACATTACTACAACAACTACAGTCTTCGAAAAAATTTTCGTTTTGAACAAAATGAGTTTTTAGATGTTTTTGAAGACTACACCTGTTCCGCTCTGAACATTAAATCGACCTGCTCATGTTTGCCATCACGACAGGATTTGAAACTGAAACAGGATTTTGTGAATCCTCATACCTTTCTTGGGGTCGCCAGTGCTGTTGGATCTGATTACACCGCTTTTAACTGGCATGATTTTCCTTTCAACAGCTGTTTCATTTTGTGGATTGGAAAAAATATTTGTAGAACTCCAGACATGTTTACTTGTACCTGTACCTAACGTCACTGTTTCTTAATCTGCGTTATTACTGCTTCTTTGTTTTCCAGCGGCTTCTGAGACGGCAAATGGGGTGCCAATTGAAAATGGCCGCAAATTTGAAAGTTTCCAAAATTCTAAAAAAATCACATTGCGTTGAAAACTATCTTTTTTCTCAGAGGTTATTGCAGTAATGTGTATTTTGAATTAGGAAAAGAAATTTAATTTTTGAATTCGAGACAGTTATGCAAACCCGCGACGAAGTCGAGGGTTTGCCTAACTGTCGAGAATTCTCCCAACCCCTCTCGTGTTTATATCAGGAAAAAATAACTTACCCGAGAAAAATCGCAAAACTCTTTAAATGGCACTGATTAAAACAGAAATTCTTACCAGTCGCAAAGTCTTGTCCAAAAAGTCTTGCACGCGCAATCAGTTCTTATTTCGCAAAAAGATGCTTTCCAAAATAGGGATTTTTCTCGCTTAAAATGTCAGGTTATTGAAGAAAAATTGACACACCTTCTTTTCTTGTAACGTTTAAGTTTCAGCCGACGAAGGAATGGGTAAATAAAGCTTGTACGCGTAATCAGTCTCATAATAGGGACCTTAAGCAAAGACGTTTTTGAGCGACGCACGTCAACCGGAAGTGAGGCCTTCTCCCTTTTTATATGCCTTGACGCTAACAAACTTGTTTTGCTGAGTTTCTTTTCTCTTTTAAAGACGATTTACCCGAGAGTTTCAACCAAACCGCTCCCCAATGATGCAAAAAGTCCACTTCCGGTTGACGTCCGTCGCTCAAAAACGTCGCTGCTTAAGCTCATTACAGACTCTCATGCAAGCACGCCTCTCGGCCAATCAGAGCGCGCGTACTATCTTAGTTAGTTATTTTATAATATGACTGTCATTATTATTGTCTCTGTTATCACAGTCTTTGCTGGTGTTCTTTTTGCGCATCAGCCGGGCGCAAACCATGCACCTAGAGCGTCAGTCACTCAAGTCAATCATTCCGTTCATACACTGAGCACCTTTCTAAGGATTCGTGCAGATCCCAGCATGCAGATCTTTTGAATCTCTGTCATACTAGCTCTCTCTGATACTTTCTTGATGTTTTCTACCATACCCTTCTTCACTGTACCAAGCGCACCAACAACCACAGGGATCACTACGGTTTTCATATGCCACATTCTCTGTA